TGTGAACACGCATTCCAATCCCCCCATGCCAGGTGCTGGGCTGAGCTCCAGGGAGGCGGGAATGGGTCAGATTTGCACGTGCCTCTGTGTGTGCCAGTGTGGGAGGTCAGATATGGAAGCCGATGGTACCTGCAGAGCTCAATAAATACCACACTGGTGATTCTTAAAATCTGCTTTGCTGTCATGCATATTCATGGAACAATGTTTAAGACACATCATGAAAAGAAAGTCTCCTTCCCTCTACAGCAGCACACTTCCCAGCTCAGAGGCAACAACCGCAGCGCGCTTTGTGTATCCTTCCAGATCTAGTTCTTGTCAGGCAAGGCATTTGTTGTCTATTTAAGCAAGACCCACTATCCGAATGTATTGTTCTATACCTTGCCTTATTCTGTCTTGGAAATAATTCCATATCACTATAGAGAGAGCTGCCTCATTCTTATGACTGCCTGGTATTCTATTGTCTGCAGAAGCCCTGATTTATCTAACAAGTCCCCTAACACTGAGCATTTGCTTTATTTCTAATCTCTTTGTTATTAGAGACGGAGCTGCTGGTTTGTATATCCTTTTCCAAGCACGAGGGTATAAATGTAGGAGAAATTCCTGGCAGTGGAGTTGTAGCAAAGGGCTCATGCATTTAAAGTACCAGTAGACAGTAACTCAGGAGGCTGAGGCAGGCGGATCTTGAGTTCAAGTCCTGCCTGGGAAACTTCAAAAGACCCTGACTCAATATAAAAACAAAAAAGGGTCAGGGACCTAGTTCAGTGACAAAGTTCAATTCTCAGTATCAAAAATAAAATAAAATAATAAAATGAAATACTGGTAGATATTGCTTAATGGGGTTTATACCAACTTATCCTCTCACTTAAAATGTGAATGGGGCGGGGCACAGTGATGCACACCTGTAATTCCAGCCTCTGGGGAGGCTGAGGCAGAAGGATCACGAGTTCAAAACCAGCCTCAGCAACCGCAAGGTGCTAACAACTCAGTGAGACCCTGTCTCTAAATAAAATACAAAATAGGGCTGGGGATGTGGCTCAATGGTTGAGTGTCCCTGAGTTCAATCCTTGGTACACTCCCTCCCCCCAAAACAACAACAACAAAATAGAAAAAATGTGAGTGGATGCCTGTGTCCTCACACCAGTACCCATAAAACAAGTCATCAAACTTTCTGAACTTTTGCTAGATTGAAAGATGAATAGTGTAGTGTTGATTTGTACTTTTTTTTTTCCAAGTGAGGTTGACTACCTTGTCATGTTTTAGAGTCACTTATATTTTCTTTTCTGCAAACTGTACAAATAATCTATCTAGTTTTCTACTGGGCTGTGGGTATTTATTATTTACTTGTAGGTCCTCTTCATAATCCAAGGCACAGTCATTTTGTTTGCACAATGAACTTCAGAAACTATTTGACTTATTTATGTACATTTTTGGTACCAGGGATTGAACCCAGGGTTGCTTAACCACGGAGCCACATCCCCAACCCTTTTTTAGATTTTATTTAGATACAGGATCTTGCTAAGTTGCTTAGGTCCTTGCAAAACTGCTGATGCTGGCCTTGAACTTGTGATCCTCCTGCTTCAGCCTCCTGAGCCACTGGATTACTGGGATTCCCAACACACTGAGAAATGTGTCACCCTGCTCCTGACTATTTTATTTATTTATTTTTGGAACAAGGGGCTTTTAGACACAAATGAGAGGGTCCTGCGGGTCATATAAGGGCCTGCACACCACTGCAGGGCTGTCCAAGGGCTGAGGGAGCCCAGGGGGCCATGCAGAGCCCTAGAAGATGGTGCCAGAACCTGGGGGAAAGAGGGCAGGGGATGCAAGAGGTGAGGGGGAAGGGCGGGGACACAGAGGCAGTTACTGGGTTCTGAAACAGATGCCCCAGAAGACTATAGGCTCCCCACTGCAGGGAGCAGGCCAGAGAGGCTGGCCTGGCTTTAAGATCCCTTTGCCCTTCAGCTGACACAGCTGAGGATAGAAGAGTCTGAAGTGAGAGAACCCACCCTCAGGGCTGTCAATCTCTGGTGGTTTAAGTCTGACCTGATGGTTGTTGCATCTGGACGCCCTGAGTAACATCATTCACTCCGAGAGAAAGATAATCTCCTGGCGTGTACATCCCAAGAGGCCAGTGCGGAAGTGCTCAGTAAATGTCTCCTTCCCCTCTCCCTCCTTAAGCCCTGCCCACTCACCTTGTCCCTCACTTCTCATACCCCATGCTGCTCCAGCAATAAAAATGGTTACATTTACTGAGCACTGAGTGTACTTTTACATGGATTATCTTCTTCAAGCCCCACAACATTCTGTGAGATCTAAGAGGATGATGTCATGGTTATCCCCATTTAGAAACCCAAACCCAGAGACAGGGGCTTACTCAAGGTCAGTACCTAGCAGATGATGACGCTGGGATTCAAAACCTTTCAGTCTAGCTGGGTGACCCGTGCCTGTAATCCCTAGGGACTATGGAGGCTGAAGCAGGAGGGTCTGTCGAAAAGTCTGAGGCCAGTCTCAAGTTAAAAAAAAAAAAAAAGAACTGGGGTTATAGCTCAGTGATAGAGTAAAGTTCCCCTGGGTTCCATTCCCAGTACCCACACCATTCAGTCTGACCTTCACTGTACTAGTCCTAGCTGGTTACCAGTCTTGGACCATGCCACCGCGTCCCTTCATGTCCCCTACCTCTGCCCATGCTGGGTCCCGCCCTGGAGGGCTCTCCTTTCCATGATCCACCCAGAACCTTATTTGCTCTTCAAGGACTTGTTCATATTACTTCCTCTTCAAAACCTTTTCCAGATTCCCCAGAGAGAGCTGGGTGCTTCCTCTCTGACTTTCCAGTTGAGAACTTTGTGCTGTGGTTAGCTGGGGCCCCAGCCGACGGTGAGGAATTGTGGCGTATCTCCATCTAGTGTCTAGCGCCAAGCCTGGCGCAGCACGAGTGCTCTCTAGATGTCGGGTGACTGAATGGCAGGGTCCCAGCTGGGGAGGACTGTTAGGAGTCTCTAGTTAGAAGCTGGAGAGAGCAGGAAATTGCAGAGCTGTCCATTGGCAGAGCCTCCATTTAGGGGGCAGCTGGAGACCATTTCACCCACCTCACCACTTGCCCTTGGTCAGAACTGTCCCCAGGGAACCAGCTGAGGGGAAGTTGCAAACTTGCACTACCCCCTAGAGGTCCCTGGGAACCCACTGTGCTGCCCGTAAGGGGTTTTCCCCTCTTGCAATGCCAGGGACTGAACCAAGATAGGAAATGACCCTGGCAGGGTATCTGGATAAACAGGAGGAAGTGTGGTCAGAGTTGCTATGCTCAGGGCCTGGGCCACCCTAGCTGGCGCTTCTGGACCTCTGACACCCAGGACTTACATGGTTTTAGTAAGACAATAGTTCCGGGGTGGATGGGGACTTTCTTGGGGTGTGAGGGAAATTGCCTCATCCCCAAAGCTGTGGTGTAAGACAGGCCCAGGGCTCTCCGCAGCTGTTACTGGGCCTCGACCAGGAATAGGAGATTTCTGAGTTGGATTATCTTGCAAAGCCCCCAAGAGAGACACCTATCTCTGGTCCCTGCCCCTACCCAATCAACTTCTCCCTTTAAGGATGCCTCACTCAACACCTTACTAAGGCTCCTGGAACTTTGGGTCCCCAGGCCCCCCTATGACCACCATATCCCACAGACTGGGAGATGGGTAGGAGAGAAGCTCGGAGCATGTGCTCTGGGGTTAGCCTCTGGGAGTCCCAACTTGGCTCACTCACTTCACCTCTTGGAGTTCCAGTTCCCTCATCCTCAAGATGAGGGTAAAGACATTTGACATCAAATTAAATTCTTAAACTTGTCAAATGAGAGAAACTTGATGTCTATTGAACAAATTCATTCCACAGAAGCCTCCACAGACCAGTTGTTCTCACAGTGTGGTCCCTGGACCATCAGCATCACCTGAGTACTTGTTAGAAGTGCAAATGAATGGACCCCCCCTCCCTTCTCTATTGACTCTGGGGGTGGGCTCAGCACTCTGTTTTAGAAGCCCTCCAGGAGACCCCGATGAGTGCTAAAGTTTGAGAACCAATACCCCAGAAAAACCTAACAGATGGGCAACACATAGGGAGAAGATTTGTGGAACATCAACATCCAACAAGGGACAGATACCTAAAATTTGTAAGCTACTCTTGCTAATCAATAGGAAAAACACAGGAAGCCTAACAGAAAATGAGCAAAAGATATGAACCAGCAATTCATGGAAGGGGAAGCATCAATGCCCAGCAAGTATAGGAGGAGAGTCTAAATCTCAGGATTAACAGAGAAATGCAAGTTAAAACAAGGAGGAGCAGCTGGAGAAATAACTCAGTGGAGAGTGTTTGCCTGGCATGTATGAGACCCCGGTTCAATCCCCAGCGCTACAAAACAAAACAAACCACCAAAACAACAACAATAAAATAAACAATGAAGAAATGCCACTTTTTTTTTTTTGTCAAATGAAAGAAACTTGATGTCTTGATGAAACTTTTTTTGTCAAATGAAAGAAACCACTGAGCCACATCCCCAGCCCTTTTTTGTGTTTTATTTAGAGACAGGGTCTCACTGAGTTGCTTAGGGCCTCACTAAGTTGCTGAGGCTAGCTTTGAACTAGCGATCCTCCTGCCTCAGCCTCCTGAGCCACTGGGATTAGTGGCATGCGCCACTGCACGCAGCAGGAAAGCCATCTTATACTCAGACTGGTAGGCAACAATTATAAAGTCAGTGTAAAATCTGATGGATGCATGGGGTAACAGCATCATCCACATGCCGCTGGTGGGGCCATTCTGGAAGAATTTAGTGAAATTTAAAATGTATACGCTTTTTGATCTAGTAATTCCACTCTTGGGGATGGAACCCAAAGACATTTTCACATAGGCCCATAATGAGGTCAAGTCCAAAGCTGTTCATCACAGCATTATTGGAAGCAAGCTGGGTATCCCTCACTGGGGAAACAGATAAATAAAAGAGTGGATGCTCAGCTCAGAACATTTTGCAGCAGTTGGATGCAATAAGCTAGATTTTCCTACAGCAACGTGGGTAGAGCTTAACAACATTATGGAATCAAAAAAGAAAGCAACAGAATGGAGGCCTTATGCAATACCACTTAGGTCTAGAAACACACACGCGTTGTGTATTCTATGAACAGAGACATTTTAGCATGTAGGGGCGGGTGCTCATGGGGAGAAGTGGGTGGAAGGGGAATAAAACAAAATAAGACATCAGGAAGTTTCTCCAATGGACCAGTGCTGATGGGATGATCATTTCCCACAAGCTGAGTATGAATCATGGAACCTTCTGGATCCGAAGATCTAACAATAATATTACTTAAAAATCGATAATAGTATGTACCTCAGTAAGTATCACATGTCCAGCCATTAAAGGCTTTGTAAAGTTTGACAAATATATTTGAGCTTCTCTAGGGGAGTCTCTGGCCTCCTCTCAAGCCTCCCAGCCTTTACTGAGGCTGTGCAGAGCGTTACCCTTATCTTGACTTCTCTAGGTCTCTACCCCTGCTTCCAGATTTCTTTGACTTTCCCAGGCCCCAGGATGGTTGTTCACAGGGTTTTGGCTGTTCCCAGGTCTGGGGTTTAGGCACAGAGCCAGGGTGTTAAGAGCGGGAGACTCCTCCCCCACCAAACTGAGCTCCCTGACAGTCTTCTTAACATCTCACCCACCTCAGTTCCCGCCCTATCTCTCCAAGGCCAGACAGGTAAACTGACACAAAAAGTGTTCCATGTGGAAGGGAACAGCCTTTACTAAGTGCCTACCATGTGCTAGGCCCAGCACTAGGGTCTTGACCTTCACCATCCTCTTGAAAATTGTTAGGGCTGAAATGATTACAGAGATGAGAAATGGGAGGTCATGGCTAAAGAGGATCAGGAGAATCCCTCACTTTTTTTGGCTCTTTTTCCCAGTCAGTAAAATTGGGCAAACAGAGGTCTCTGAGTTCTGGATTTCTTCTTCTTTTCTTTCTTTCTTTTTTTTGGGGGGTGGTGGTGGTGGTGTTGCCGGGTAGTGAACGGGATAGTCTTTTCTCAGTCGGCCAGCAGGTGGAGCTACTCTTCATCCCTCAGCCTCCAGAAAGCTGCGGGGATTCGAAGTCCCCAGAAGGGAAGGGTGTCCTGGAGCCGCGCTCCCAGGGGACAGTGGGACAAAACAGGGCCGCTGCCCATCCTCTGGGTTTGGCAGACAGCGCCTGCCGATCCCTGGGAGACCCTCTGGTGCTTTAGGGCCCCCGCTTCGCACGCCCCCTGCAGGAAGCTATCGGTCCTGCAGGATGCTGAGCCCCGAGGGCAGGGATGGAAACCTGTGACCAGGGTGTGACTAGGGGTCCCCGGGATGGGGTTCCACATGAAAAAGTGAGGGAGATTCAGGGGCTGGCTGTGGGGTCACCCCTTGCACTCCCTCTTCATGGGCGGAAGTTACAGGTAGTTGTCTTCAGCTGCATCGCCTCCATCCCTGGACTCATCTTCCTCCTCATCGTCATCGTCGTCGTCGGGGGCCAGAGCCTCGATGTCGTGAGTGATGTCGGTCAGCAGCCGGTGGAAGGCCTGCGCCTCGGGCCGCTGGGCTGCACCGTCGTAGCTGCGCACCGCGGAAGCTGACGTGGAGCTCATACTGCGCTTGATGCGGCCGAAGCTGTCGGTGAGGATGCCGCCCTCACGGATGCCCACACCCTCCAGGAAGCCCTCAAAGTAACCGATGTCCTGGTCCGGGATGAAGGGCCGCATCCCTGCAGGCCGCGGGGTACAGTGATTTCCGGGGTTCAGCTGCTTCCCCTCCCACAGAGGCCGCTCCCTCCCTGGAAATCTAAGTTGAAATCCCTGAGCTGCCAATCACTGTGTGGCTTGGCCTGCAGTCCTTAACTCTGGGCAGATAATGATGAGAAGCTCAGCACAGAGTCAATGCTGACTACGTGTTAACTTGCTTAATATATTGTTCTTATGATTGCTATATTCCACATATTAGCTACATGACTTTAATTAAATAATTACTCTGAACCTCACTTTCTGCACCTGTAAAATGGGGACAAATAGTATATACTTTCCAGAACTGGGGGCTCTCAACCAAATATTTGTCCAAATATTTCAGTATTAGTATTCCTATTGTTATAGTCATCCTTACCAGCTGTATGACCTTGGACAAGTTTCGTAGTCCCTCTAAGATAAAATGGCTGTACCAGGGTCCTGTCTTTCTTATAAGCCATTTCCTGGCTGTGTTTCAAGGCCCTTCCCTTCTCTGCACCTCAGTCTCCTTGTCTACCCTATAGTCTCAAGATCTTGGTCTGAAGGATAAGGAGGAAATACTCCAAGGCGGTTTTCGATTGCTGACATCAAGGGCCAAATAGGAGCCTTAGCCAAAGCCTGGGAGGGTCAGGGGCTCACCTAGGAGGAGGAACTTGCGACGGTCTCCGTAGAGCTTCAGCAGGCCGGCACAGTAGTCCTGGATGGGCAGGCCCAGACGGTACTCCCGCAGCAGCAGTGCAAACTGCTGGATCTCAGGGGGCCCCAGCTTACTCCGCAACTGCGGACGACACCCCTGCAGATCAGTCCCAGAGAGCAACCCTACCCAACCCCTGCCTGACAGAACCAGAGCCCCCTCAAGAGCCCCCCTCCAAAAACTCTTTCATGACCTTCTCAGGGGACACCAGTCCTGATGCAAGAATGGGATTTCGATTCAAGCTGCCTGAGTCCAAATCCTAGCTCCCTGGGTGACCTCGATGATCTCAGGAAGGTCCCAACCTCCAACTCTTGCCTTCCGCCTCTGCAACTGAGGATAACAGTGGCCCCTCTCTTGGTGCTGGAGTAGTGTCTGGCAAACAGCCAGTGAATGCTGGCAGGCTGACGTGCACCAAGGCCTTTCACAAGCTGGCCTCAGTTTACTCTTCATCTCGGTCCCTGACCTCCAAGTCCCCTGCTTTGCCATGTCCAGCAGGACTGTGCATGATCCCCGAAATGCACCTATGTGTATCTACTTCCCTCTCCCATGTCACTCTAAGATAAAATGGCCCAGGCCCGTGCTGTCCCCTGCTGCCCCAGCTCACCGTGATCATGTAATCTTGTAACTGTTCCAGGCTCAGGCCACTGTGGTCACTGCCACTGCAGTGGGAACCGTGGAAAGAAGGAGTGGACGTGCCGCTGTAACATGCTTCAAATGTGTCCTGGGAGCCATTGCTGTAGGGACAGGAGGAAAGGGGCCTTCACTTGCCACTCACTGGCTCTTCTCCCTGGGGTGCACTTCAGGTGCATGGGGTCAGCCATCACTACTATGGGCCTGAGGCCTCATCCTAGACCCCATTTTGGCTTCCAAGGCACTGCATGATCTGACTTTGGGACCTCTCCAGCCTTGTCCCTCACTGTGTTCCCTCTTGCTCTCTAATACTCCCAGAGGTCCTTGCACAAGCTCTTCCCTTTGTCCGGATACCTCTCTTCCATTTCCTTTTGCTCAAGCTCTTATTTTTTTGGGGGGGAGAAGGGATACTGAGGATTGAACCCAGAGGTGCTCTGACCCTGAGCTATATCCCCCAGCCCTTTTAAAATATTTTATTCTGAGATAAAGTTGTGCTAAGGTACTAAGTCTGGCCTCAAATTTTGGGATCCTCTTGACTCAGCCTCCTGAGCTGCTGGGATTACAGGCATGGACCACAGTGCCTGGCTCAAGCTAACTTTTATTCATACTTTGATTCCAAATATTGCCTCCTCAGGAAAGCCTTCCACGATCCCCTTCAAAACCAGGTTAGACCTTTTCCAGATGCAGCCCTTTCCAGATCCTCCAACAACATTCCCACTGACCACTGCCTCCCTCACGCCCTCTGCAGTGGCCACATGACCTTTTGCCTGCTCATCAACACACAAAGCTCCACTCTGTTCGGAAGGCTTGCGCTTGCTCTCCCCTCCACCTGGAACAGCCTGCCCTCACCCTCCAGGTTTTGGTTCTGGTGTCGTCAGCTCCATGAGGCCCTCCTGCCTCCCCGGATGAGTGTGGTCCTCTCAGTCCCTCCTGCCTGGCTTCTCTTCAGGGCTTAGTACCATTAATGCTCATTAATGCTGGGTTGAGAACTTGGCAGGAGCAGGGGCTTTGATTTTCTTCTTTTTGAGTACCTACTGTGTGCTAGGCATGGCTCTTGCCCTCTGTCTTTTCCTGCTGTATCTCCAGCACGCAGGACAGCGCTTGGCATGTAGAAGGTGCTAACTATGGTTTAATAAAATCTCAACCCTAGTCTCTAAATTGTTCTGGAACCACCTTGCATTATTACCTCCAGAGAAGCAGGACAGCTTCCTGGGTGAGGGTGTGGGCTCCTGGTTCATCTCCCAGGCTACCACTTACTGGGTGCTTCACCCTTGGAAAGCTAAACTTTCCCTTTTCCTCAGTTTTCTCCATCTGTAAAGTGGGAGGATGGAAATCGGTGTCCTTGAGGAATGAGAACAATTCTTATTTGTAAAGTATTTAGAATCATGGACTCTATGGAATAAGTAAATAGTAGCAGCTATAATGTTGCTTTGTGGCCACTAAAAAAATAATGAAGTGCATTATAGAGAGCATTTGGCACATAGTAAGCTCAAAAAATGTTAGGCATTACCATGATTTTTGTCTCTGTAGCAGAATCAGGTTGTTGATGGACTAGCCTAGGGGTACAGAATCTTAAGAAGGCAAATCTATTGCCACTAAAAAGGAAGAGCAAGAAAAGAGAAAAAAGGAGGGCTCATATTACCGGCAAGCACTGCTACTTACCAACCCAAAGCCCTCAGTAACGTGGCCAGGGCAACCAGCTGAAACGGATTTGCCCAGGACGTTCTTTCACTACGGAAAATCCCATATCCTGGGAGACCCCTCATTCTCGAGCAAACTGGGATGGTCGGTCATCCAAAACAGACCCCTGGGCAGTTTCCCAACTGAAATTTCTTTAAATCCTCCATGTTCCAGTCTTGCTTGTAGATAATGTAATGACCATGTGACCAATCAGATGACCAATAAGATGGAAGCAGAAGTTGCTGAGTGGGAATCCAGCAGAACTTTTTATAGAGGCCTCTAGCATGCTACTGTGATGGCTGGAGCTCCAACCACCATCCTGATCCATGAAGTGACCCGAGGATGGAAGCAAGCACTAAGGAGGGTGTGGCAGGAAAAGAGAAGCCTGGGTCTCTGAAAGACACCGAGGCCCTGAACTCCTGCTCTATTTTATGTAAAACACAAGGAAAAAAAAGTTCTATCTTCTTTCAGCTACTCTTCTTTTTAGGGTTTTAAATTATACAGACCCCAAACTAAAGTAAAGTAAAATTATTTTTGGCTTTAGCTGTGATTTTTTGACCCTGCAGGCCACCATATCTGGATAGCTGGGAGAGAACGGCAGACCTACGTGGACCCCATCTGGGCTCTGTGTCCCCTGGATGCTATAAACTCACCGGAGCCCAGGGCTCATACCACCTCCCCTCACAGTGCCTTGCATCTCCACCCAAATTAAGGCTGGGTCATATTCTCCTAACCTCTCATGAAGAGTGACCTCATTTGTGCAGGGGTGGGGAAGCAAGAGTGAAGTCCCCAACAAGGAGGGTACCTACAAGGAGCTGCAGCAGCTGAAGTCCGCGTCGTAGGCGTAAGTCCCATCTGTCCGGCAGCTGTCACCTGGACCAGACACAGAGGGACTGACAGAGTGGCAAAGTGGCACCAGGATCCCTGACTCCCCTGGGCAACTGTCCTCCCCAATCATGGTCAATAGCACCTTCCTGCCTGCCCACCAGGGGCCTAGGGAAGAGCAGGGGAAGGGACAGTGTGGGCGGTGGTTGTAAACTGTGTGTTTGAGGCAAGACAAGAATAATCTTATGAGGGGAAAAGAAGGCAACACCGTCAGAGGAAAACAGCACTATTTACAGAGAACGTGCCTCTTCCCAGCATGCTGTCCCATCCTCCAGGTATTGTCCCTAGCCTCTGGGCTGAGCTCAGTCCGTGTCACTCCTCAGGTGAGGCTGGCTCCTCATGAACGCTCTCACAGCACTGTCTGGCTACACATTTATTTGTGTAGTTATTTGATTACTGTCAGGCTGCCTCAGCCACAAAGCTTCGAGAAGACGAGGCCACCTCTGGTTTTGCCCATCAGTGTATCCACGTCACTGGATCTGACGTGGTAAGTACTCAAGAATATTGGTTGAATCTGTTGAACGATCTCATTCACTTGACTTTCATCTCTCACTGGTGGGAGGGCCTTTTAAAGAAACGAACGGGTGCCCTGCTGCAGGAGCTACACAAACAGGTGCTACACTGCTGGGGGCTGTGATTGGGGTTCATTTAGTGGCCCTGGGAAGTGAGGTTTGCAAATAGAAGCTTTTGAATCCAACAGATCTGGGTTTGAATCCTGACACTGACACCAACTACATAACCTACCATAGGAAATAGTCAATTTACTATCGACTCTTCTGGGCCTCAGTGTCCTCATGTGTCAAACTGCACTCATAAGGCCCCAAGGGTTCTTACATCCCTTCAAAGAGTCCCACTTGACCATCTGTGATGGACCTGTCCTGTGCGAGGCCAAGAGGGCAGATAAGTTGCTATGAGGATTGAATAAGATTTGACACCTGAATATCAACTTGATAGTCGGTGATCAATAAATGCCTCTGTTAATCTCATTCTCATTTCAGCCCTCGACTGTATCCAAGGTCCCATCCGCAAATATTGGTTTTGATCTAGGAGCCAAGTGAGACTGGAAGGTTCAGAAAGGCAGTTCATGTGCTTGGATTTTGGTAAAGTATCCAAAACAAAAAGAGAAAAGTCCAAATGTGAGGAGCTCCATCTGAACTGGGCATCCTGAACATCTTTGATTGAACGGGGTTTGAGGTCATCATGAAGATCAACAGTTTATTTTACCTACATATTAGGGGGACATTTTGGCAGAGATTAGAATCCCTAAAGGCCTTCACTAGCCTTGAGTCCTGGGCCATCCTTCCTCCCCTACCTCTGAGGATGCTGCACCGAAGGGGAGGCCAGGGACCCGGGTACTCACTGCGGCTGCAGAGCCATGGCCGGTCAGGTGTGGACGTGTAGTGGTAACCAGCCCGGTCCACACACTCGATGCTCTGGTCTCCATAGATGATCTGGAAGACCTGACAGATGAGTGCACAGGACTCCTCGGCGGCATCCTGGTCCAGGGAGGAAGAGCAGAGCTCAGGCCCTCCCACCACCAGGAAGCCTGCCGCCTCTCAAACGCCATGGGCAGGCTCCGAGGCCCACGCCTGTGGGCCCCTTTAAATCAATGTCAGAGATGTCTCCCATCAAAATTATATGGCCACTCTCTGGGTTTCATGACTTCTTTATAGAATCCAGAGAACGCTGTCTTCTCTGCCATGAAAAATGTACTCCAATTTATGAGAGTCCTGGAACTTATCAAAAAGAACTGTAATCTGTCAGGCAGAGTGGAACACGCTGGTTATCCCAGCAAATCAGGAGAATTGCAGGTTCAAGGCCAGCCTGGGCAACTTAGTGAGACCCTCAGCAACTTAGTAAGACCCTATCTCAAATAATAATAATAATAATAATAGTAATAGACCATGCTTGTAGCTCCGTGATAAACTTCCCCTGGACTCAGTACTCAGTACAGAAATAATAATAATAGATTAAACTCCAATTTAACTTAATACAGGTACAAAAGTTGAGATCCAGAGAGAAGGAGGCGCTATTAAAAATATGAAGATGCAGGGCGCAGTGGCACACGCCTGTAATCCCAGGGACTCGGGAGGCTGAGACAGGAGGATCTCGAGTTCAAAGCCAGCCTCAGCAACAAGTGAAGCACTAAGCAACTCAGTGAGACACTGTCTCTAAATAAACTGCAAAATAGGGCTAGGGATGTGGTTCAGTGGTTAAGTCCCCCAGAGCTCAAACCCTGGTATATATATATAAAAAAAAAGTATGAAGATTTTAACCTCAACATAGTTACTACTACTGGATGCCAGTTTTAGATATGAGCGTCTCATTATTCAGTGTGAAAATCAAAGTAGGATGAATACATAAACTCCATTCTCTGCTTGAAGGAAGGAGTTCAAATTCTTGGGTAAAACTTTTTTGAGACTGTACATTCTTTGAAGAAGAATTCACATCTTTACATGTTTAAGCAGAGACACAAAAGAAAGCATTAATTAATGAAAACAGAATATTTTCTTGCAGCTACTATCTATTTTGTGTCTCTAAAAAGTCCAAGGTGTAAATTCAAATGTAACTCAGGACAGGCATTCGGGGGTTATGAGGAATTACTAATCATTAAACCAGGACTGATCCTTACAATGACCCTACAAAGGGACAGAGCAGAGAGGATCCTTATTTTATAGTTAAGATGCTAAGACTTAGAGGGGTTCAGTGATTTGCCTGGGCTCAGAGAGCAGGTCTGTGGCATTAGATAAAACTGGCAGCATGTGTGGCTTTTGACTCTAACTCCTTTACCTTCCTGGGCACCACGATGCCTCAGAAAGGAGCCCAGAGCCTCAGACAACCTGGAGAGCAGCTCTTATATTTATATACTCATTCCACAAGTTCTCATTTCATCTCATTATGTGGCAAGCTCTAGGCCAGGCTCTCTACCCTAAGATCCCCACAGGCCGGTGGGGTAGACAGTGAACACACCTCTGTGTGGAATCTGATTTCCAGGCCCATCCCTCTGCCAACTCCTTCCTCTTCCTTGCCCTTCAGTTTGAAAAGCACAAACTCACTTTCCCCTCTCCCAATCTCTATGAATGCCATCTGCTTATTTCCTTCCTAGTCCCCACGCAAGGTATAATGTAAGATGCATTAATTTATTCATTCAACCAATTGGTATTTAATGTGCACTTATTATGTGCCAGGCATGGTTCTAGGTGTCAGGGGTACCACAGAGAGCCACCCAGAACACACAGGTCTCTTACACTCTACAAGGAGGTCAGTCTGGCTAGAGTGGAATAAAGTGTGGAGGTGGTGGGAGTAGAAAGAGGTGAGGCCAGAGAGGGGCTGGGGGTCATGGCTGGAGCTTGGATGCCCTTATAAGCAATTGTAAGGATGCTGGCTTTTACTCTGAGTGAAAGAAGGAGCCACTGGAAGATTCAGAGCAGTGATATGATGTGACTTCTGTGTTAACAGGACTGCTCTGATTCTGTAGGGGAACAGACTATAAGAAAGGGCTGAGCCAGCAAAGGGATGACATCATGATTCCAGTGACAGAAGATAGCATGTGGGCCTGAGTGGGGACAATGGAAGATGCAGAAGTGGGTTTTGGCCATATTTGAAAAATAGGGTCAATAGGATTTATTGACAAAGCACATAGGGTGTGGGTGTGTGCGAAAGGGAGTGGAGGGAGGGAGAGAAAGAGAAGCCAAGGACCACGGTAAGGTTTCCGCCTGAGCAACAGAAGGATGAAGCTGCCAGTCACCAAGACAGGGAGGTCAAGGAGCCTCAGGTTTGGGGGAGGAGATCCAAAGCACAGGTTTGGATGCATTAGGCTTGAGATGGTCATTAGACCTTGGAATGGAGAGACTGAATAAAGATTTGGTGACAGATGAAATTACGGGAGTCCCAGTGTTTTAAACGTCACGAGACCAGGTGGGCGTGATGGTGTATGCCTGCAATCCCAGCTACTTGGGAGTCAGAGGCAGAGGATGGCAAGTTCAAGGCCAACTTTGGCAACTTAGCAGGAAACTGTCTTAAAATAAAAGTTAAAAGGGCTGGGGTTGTGGCTCAGGGGTAGAGCGCTTGCCTAGCATACATGAGGCAATGGGTTGGATCCTCAGCACCACATAAAGTAAAGTAAAAATAAAGACATTATGTCCACCTTAAAAAAAAAGTTAAAAAAAGAAAAGAAAACTGGAGAGGCAGTCTGTGGTGGAGCTCTTGAATACCGTGTGTGAGGCCCTGGGTTTAACTCCCAGTACTGCCAACATACGGACATACACACATGCTGTGGGACTACAGATGACCTAGAAATGAGTGTAGCCAAGGGATGAAGATCCAGGATAATGCTTGAGGCACTCTAACTTTCAGAGGTTGCAGAGAAGAGGAACCAGCTCTGGAGAAGGAGCCAGGGAGGCAGAGGAAAACCAGAATGTGTAGAGCTAGACCCAAGTGAGTGTCTCAAGGGGAGGGAATCTTGTTGTGTGTAGATTCCTATATTATTTGCCACTAAATATTGCCTTGAAATTTAAATGCTAATGCCATCTCCCGTCTGCCTAGGTCTGGCACTCCGCTCCTGCTGATCTTAGTGTCCTCGTGATTGTGACTGTGGTGGTGCTGACATTGAACGTAATGTAGCAGAAGCTGGGCTTGAGGAGGGGGTTACTCTCAAGTGTATTGGCCATTTTGATTTCCTCCCATTGTGGGACCCAGGGAGATGTGTCCCAGAGGGCATAGGGTGGGAGTCATGGGCACACCTAAGTCCTCGGTGGGGCTGAAGGAAGGAAAAGGCAGACCCCAGGAACTGGTGAAAGGGGCGGGGTGGGCGGGTACAGTGTTCCCCAGGAAGGGTACTAGGTGTCCTCGGGCTCACCCTGTTAGCCACAGCCAGGATGACAAGGTTGCAGTAGGCGTCGGGGCTGGGGTCCTGAGGGTCCAGCGGGTTGGGACCTGGGTGGCGCCGTTCCCAGCTGCCCCCGCCGCTGCCCGCCTGCCTCCGCTCCCAGCTGCCGCCGGGCTTGCCCGCGCCGCCGCCGCCGCCCGTGTGTCGCCGCTCCCAGCTGCCGCTGAACGTCTGCCGCCGCTCCCAGCTGCCGGACGCCCGCGGCCCTGCGCGCTGGCGCTCCAGGCTGCCTCCGCCGCCGCCCCCCGCCCGAGCCTCGGCGCTCGCGCCCCCGCCCCACGCCATCCGCCAGTCCAGGCTGCAGATGGTGTGGCGCCGCTCCGCGGTGCCCACCCGCCGCTTCTCGGGCGCTGCGCCCGGCGGGCCCGGGTCACGCCCCGCACCACCCGGGCTAGCGTCCACGCCGGCCGGCACCGGGTCCACGCCCAGACCTAGGAGAAGCCGGGGGTGGTCAGCTGCAGAAGATCGCAGCCAAGGGGCCCCTCCCGAAGCCACCTGGAGGACCTCTCCAGCCGCTCTGGAGTCGGGCGCCCCTGGCCCAAGGCCCGCCCTGACCACCCGCTGTGCAGCTCTTCTCCACCTCACTCAGCGCTTACTTTCGCGCCAGGCGCGCGGCCTGACTCCTCCCTGGTTTTGACTCCACCCCCGGCCTCGGGGTGGTGGCCCAGCCGCTCCTACCCTCCTCACCCCACCCCAATGCCCTGGCCTCTGATCTGCCCTCTGACTTGAGGGTGGTGGTCAAGTTTACCCTGCCTCTATGCTATGTCCTTAATTCTGACCACGTCCCAGTTTTAACGCCGCCTCCGCCCCCTGCGACCTGAGTTCCGAGTTCTCGGGTCTCCTCAACCCCGCCCTGGCCCCGCCCTAGTGGTCGGACTGTAGCCGGGGACCCCGTGCGTGGCCCCGCCCTCAGGCCTGGAGGCTCCCCTAACCCGCGGGTCAGATCTAGCGGTCACCCTGCCCTTCTTCACTCGCTTTAATTTAGGGCCCTTCCCTGGCCTCAGGTTTCCGACTTCTCCATCCTTCCACTGCTGCACCCCTTGCCATCAGGAAAGCAGTCAGGCTCACTGTCACTCAACCTCGGGCTCAGTCTACTTGAACGGGGTCTCTTCCGCCTGCCGCTAGTCTCAGGGTATTGTGATCAGGCCTTTTCCATAACCCCCTCTCCCGGCCTCAAGCCCCAGCCCTGCCGCAGGTCACGCCCATTCCCAAGACTAGAGGTTAGGCCCTTTCTCTCTCTGCTCTCCTCTCGGTCCTCCCGCGGCAGGGTCCTGCATGCTGTACCGGTCTTAAGCACTAGCAGGTGCAGCGCGTCGTCCTGTAGGTAGGAAGCGGCGGCGATCTCGTGCGTCGGAATGCGCAGAATGAGCTCCTCATTGTCGCGCCAGGTGAGCAGCAGGCAGCGGGCAGACAGGCTCAAGATGCTGTCCTGCTCCGCCGTTGTCTTCAGCGGCAGCTCCTTCAGCTGCTGCAGGGATGGTCGGATGGCCTAAGTCCCCGGAGCAGGGAGGGTGGAGAGGGAGAAGGGACCCTGAGGGAGACCCTGCCCTTCTTCTTCCCCAGAGCCTCACCCTGGCGGTGTCCAGCAGCTGCAGGAGTTCATCCCTGCTGGAGGGGTTCAGTGAGGAAGTCACCCAGGTGAGGTGGCCCAGGAACTAGATGGGGAATGGAGTAGGAGAGGGCACAGAGAGGTCACTCTGAAGCCTTGGTGGACCCTGGCCTCCTTACTGACACAGTGAAGATAGGCTGAGATAGAAATATCTAAAATAATAATAACCCAATAATAAATTTCACTGAACCCATAATAAAAGCCAGGCACAGTTCTGAGTGCTTTATGGTTCACTCATTGATCCTCAAGAAGGATGAAACTGCACAGCAAGGCTAAAAATCCTGCCCAGAGGACACTTATCTAGCATGTACAAGGCCCTGGGTTCAAGCCCCAGCATCCTGAAATGGGGGGGCGGGCGCGGAGACAGGAAAAAAAAAAAAAAAGAAAAGCCTACTCAGGTTTATACAGCTACAAGGGGCAAGACTGGACTCCACATGCCTGAGCCCGCACTCTCAAATGCTAGTTGGTACCGCCTTAACACCTGGTCATTTAGCTATAAGGTTTCATGAAGAAGCAAAAGTCATTACTATAGCTTTGTTTATTTGGCCAGGGAACCCAGGGGCTCTCCTATGAAACACTCTACCCCTGAACTACATCCTTGGCCTCCACTGTTATAGCTTGAAAGAACTGACTCCTGTGAATTTCCTTATAGCCTGAGTGGCTGCCTCCACCTCCAGCATCATTGCCAAATAGGCCACAAATTACTTGTCCTTTTAGGATTCCTTTATAAAACTCAAATGAAAAGAAAAGAAGGTGTCGAATTAGTATATCATTTTGTCCCAAAAATTATGCACTACCTTGGCATAGCAGTGCATGCCTGAAATCCTAAGTACTTAGCAGGCTGAGGCAGAAGAATCATAAATTTGAGGACAGTCTGAACAATTTAGCAAATTTTAAAATAATAAATTTTAAAAAGATCTGGGATGTAGCTCAATGGTAGAGCACCCCAAGACTTGATCTCCAGCACGACATAAACACAACAAAAGAAACAAAAACCATCAAAATAAAAAATAAAAAGGGCTGGGCTCTAGCTCAGTGGTAGAGTGGCCCTGGGGTCAATATCCAGTACCCTGTCCCTCAAAAAAAGAAAGAAAAATGATGCTTCAAATCAGCATATTAATTTTCATTCTGTTTTTGGTACTGGGGATTGAACCCAGGGGTGCTTAACCACTGAGCCACATCCCAGTCCTTTTTACTATTTTATTAGAGACAGGGTCTTGCTGAGTTGCTAAGTGCCTTGCTTAGTTGCTGAAGCTGGCTTTGAACTCACAATCCTCCTGTCTCAGCTTCCCAAACTGCTGGGATTTCAGGCATGTGCCACCAGTTGGGCCAAGCTTCTCCATTCATTCTTTATTTTTTGTGGGGGTGTGGGTACCATGGATTGAACTCAAGGGCACTGGAGCACTGAGCCACATCCCCAGCCCTATTTTGTATTTTATTTTTAGAGACAGGATCTCACTGAATTGCTTAGCACCTTTCTTTTGCTGAGGCTGGCTTTGAACTCGCAATCCTCCTGCTTCAGCCTCCTGAGCTGCTGGGATTACTGGTGTGTGCCACCATGCCCAGCCTCCCTCTTCTTTTTATTCTCTATGAAATTTCAGTCTCCAGTTTTTAAGTAGATTTATTGGTTAGCTTTTCCCTCTGTATAGGGTTTCCAGATAAAATACAGGGACGCTCCCATGGCACAATTGGTCAGTGTGCAGTATTTATATAGCATATAAAGTACAAAATGCCAGTTAAATTTGAATTTCATATCAACAGGAATTTTGTTTTTAGGTTTTTGGTATAGTTAGTATGTACAATATTTGGGACATGTTTATGCTAAAAAAGTATTCATTGCTTATCTGAAATTCAAATTTAACTAGGTGGCCTGTTTGCTAAATCTGCAACTCTATCCCTTTGCAGTCTTCCCCTAGCTAAATTAGGATCCCTTACTGCTCCTTCATGGTATCCCGGAAATAAAAATAAAGCTTCTAGGTAGTCAAGAGACCTTTGTGGCTTGCTCTTAACCTGGACACTATCAGAGCAACCACAAAGTCATTGTAGTAAAAGCTTATGGGAGAACAGAATTTTCAGGGCAGGGAACCCTCTCCTAGCCACTCTCCCCTGGGAATAGGTCAGGAGCTCATGTTGAGATGGGGACACGGGTGCTCAGTGAAAGGAGGTCCCTTGCTGAGGGTGCACAGCAGAACAGAGGGGTGTGGGACCCCTCTGGACCCAGAGGTCCTGTTTCCCATGAGCCACAGCTTCCCCTGTGTTGAGGTAGGCCTAGTCAGGAGCTGGTGTGGGGGACAGAAAAGGTCTCTCCTGACCCCAAGGCTGTTCCCACCCTTTCTCATCCCACACTCACCTTGACCTCTTTCTCCAGGTAGTCACACAGAAGGATCTGGGGGTCAATGAGGTAGTCGGGAGGATAAAGGGGCATTGAGTGCAGGGGCCGGCGGCTCACACTGGTCCGAAAGGCTGCACGACGTGCGGCCTTGGGGAACACCAGCCTTCGAATAGGGGACACAAAGCCCTGGGGGAGACAGAGGGAATAACAGTAAAAATAGTGATAATGGCTTTGACAATCGCTTGCCTTGTTGGCTGTTTTATTTACATGACCAAATTTAATTCTCATAAAATCTCTGTAGAAAGGGTACCCATTTTACAGATGGAGAAATGAAGCCCAGGCAGGGAGTTAACTGGTAAAGTCACCAGCTAGTAGTGATGGAACCAATATTTCACTCCAGGCAGTCCAACTCCAAAACCTCCATTCTGATCACCTAGGAAGGTATAGCCCCTGTTAGCCAGGTATAAGAAATGGGTCCAGATGGGAGCAAATACAGAAAAATAGTCGGTGTGGCCCAGTGTTAGGTGCATAGGTATGTGTTAGGCTATCCTCTGTGTTTCCTTAAAATTTAGAAATACATAAATTTAAGTCTAATTCAGAAGCACCTGTACAAAAAATGACTTAGATCAAGGTTAAAGATGTACATTCCAGGGCCCAGCACAGACTAATAAGCAAGGCACTAAGCAACTCAGTGAGACCCTGTCTCTAAATAAAATACAAAATAGGGCTGGGGATGTGGCTCAGTAGCCAAGTGCCCCTGAGTTCAATCCCCTATAGCCCCCCTGCCCCCCAGAAGAAAGTCTGAGCACTTCTCTCAAGCAGCAGTTGTCATGTGTGGTTCCTGGACCAGTGGTGGCACCTGGGCACTTGAGAGAAATGCAGGCCTCCTGTCCCCACCCCACACTGGAGGCCCAGCAATTAAAATTTAGCACGCCCTCCAGGTGATTCTGATGCATGACCCAGTGTGACATCCACACCTCAGAGCAGCCATTTCTACCCTGGCTGCAATCTGTGACCACTTGGGCAGCTTCTAAAACTTCAGGTGCCCAAGCTACACCCCAAATCATGAGAATCAGAAATTCTGGAACTGGAATCCAGACATCAGGATTTGTAAAGCGTCCCTGGGTGATTTCAGTGGGGGCCCAGCTGAAACCCAGCGAGCGTGCAGAATGCACCGTGTGGTTACTTAGATTCCACAACAAGGGTGAACAAGGACAAACAAATGATGCTCAATTCTGGTGCATGTGTTCATCCACAGATTTGCTCAGTAAGCTTCATTCATGCCAGTGTGGCTGGGCCTGCACTGGTGTTTCCCCAGCCCTGCCTCCAGGGCTTGTGATAAATGACCTAAACTCCTGAGTCTCAGACTATACTGAGTTCTGATTCAGGAGATCTGGGGTGGGGCTGAGGCTGCATTTCTAACAAGGTGCCAGCAGATGTGGGTGCTAGGGTCTGTACCCCATAGCTCCAGTAGCCAGGATCTAAGCCAGTGGTCAGAGCATGGCCCCGCAGCCAGTATCACCTGGGTGGGGGATAGGGGGGTGGAGGGGGCAGTTAGAAATGCAGATTCCCAGATCTCATGCCAGCCCTGTTGGATCAGAGAGCGGGGGTGAGACCCAACGATCTGCATTTTATCAGGCTCTCCAGGTGATTCTGACACTCACGTTCTAGAACCTGTGTCATGGAGCCTGCATGGGGTATGTGGAAGCGCTGAGAACGAGAGCAAAATATCAGGGAGAAGGCATTCCAAGCAGAGGGCGCAGCAGGGGCGAACCCCTGGGAGCTCTGATGGCTGGGTAGGAATGATCCTAGAGGACTGTGAGCGGTCAGTGTGTGGGTCAGGGGCCTTGAGTGCCCCCTGGAGCTGCGACTTCATCCCTCATAGGTGAATGGGGTGGGGTGGGGTGGGGTGATCCTGAATGGTCCAGCCTCATCTTACATACTCCTCCTGGCTCCCCATGCGCAGCTACCTGGCCACCTCTCAGTTCTCTCTACACTACGCTCGTTCCTGCCGTACTGTTTGCATGTGCTGTTCCTCTGCTCAAAACCCTCTTCCCCACTCCCTTTCTTTCTACCCATCACCTCTCAGCTCAAACTGACCAGTCAATGGCCAGGACCCTGATAGTCTGCCCCCTAGAACTGCGCATGGAGCCTTTTATGCAATTTTACGTTGATCAATCCATTGCCTTTTTTAAATTATTATTATTAATAGTTGTTTCCCCCCTGAGACTGTGAGTTTCAGGGAGGGAGCAGGGGCCTTATTTGACTTTGCTCACCTCTGTGTCCTCACCAGCCTCAGGCACAATTCATGGCACACAACAGTAAATATCTATTAAAAGAATAAACAGCTGGGCGCAGGCGCATGCCAGTGATCCCAGTGGTGGGAGGCTGAGGCAGGAGGATTGCAACTTAGCAAGGCCCTAAGCACCTTAGCAAGATCTAAGGTAAAATATAAAAAGGGTTGGGGATGTGTCTCAGTGGTTAAGCACCCCTGGGTTCAATCCCTGGTACCAAAAATAAACAACAAAACAAACAACAACAACGACACGAACCAAGACAGGACACACACGTTTGGATGCCCAGAGATTACATGGGTGTCCTTTAGAATGCCCCTGACCCAGGCTTCTTGGGGAAAGAGGGCTCTGTGCAGATGGAGGTGGCATGGGAGTTGGAATCTGAGGAGCTCCCTGAACCCCAAGAAGATGAGATACCCAGAAAAGCAGACTAGAGAAGTTCTCAGAGTCAGGAAGGGGTGAAGATGGGGTGACCCCAGGGCTGAGACCTCGGAGTTGGCCCTGGTGCAGAGATAAGGAGTGGCAGGTGTGGGTGGAACACTGCAGGGGAGCAGGTGGAGACTCGTGGAGGGCAGCTGCTAGCTCAGGACTGCCACCGCTGGGCCCTTCTGTCCAGGTTGGTCCAGGAGCAGGGGAATGGGTCTGCAGGAGGGAGCCACCAGGGAAGCACGTGCCTGGGGAGACCTTGTCCTTCGGTGCAGGGGCGGCAGAGGCCACCACAAGGGGACAAACAGGCCAGGGAGTTGAGAGCCCAGATGTCTGGTAGAAAGGGAGGTCCTGACAAATAGGAAGGAAGACTTCACCCAGGCCACTTGCCACCCCCACCTGTGGGCTCCTCCATCCCCGGCTTCAGGGACATTCCTTTACCCTGTGTCCCTCTCAAACTCCCACGTACCTTCTTCCCTTTCTTGACTTCATATTCCATGGTGACGGTCCCCTCTCCTCCTGCACCCTCCCGGCCACCCCCCTCTGCTGCCCGCTGCTTTTGTTCTTTTTCCTGCCTGGTCGGAAACTCCACCAGCGCTGCAGCTTTCCTGTCCCTCCCCTCTGCTGGGGCTGGCGCTGGAGGACACAGCCCTGGGACTCTACCCCTGAGGGGTGAGGCCCAGGCAGAAGGCCCCAGGTCTCCAGCCAGAAGGCACGCTGTTGAGGGGCTCCGCAGTTGGGTGAGCCTGGAGGAGAGTCCCGCAGATTGGAAGTCCAAGTCTGGAAAATTCTAGGTTCCAGTTCTGCTTCTGCACCTGTGTGTGACCTTCTCAAGCCAAGCCAGTTCCCCTTCACAGCCTGTTGCCTTCTCCCTTCAGAAATTGGGAGTAAGCCTCGCCCCTTCCCTGGGTGGAAAAAGAGTGAGCGTGCTGTGTCCCAGCAAGTTAAGGTATAAAATAAATTGGGTTGGGGATGTGGCTCCGTGGTAAGGCACTTGCCAAGAGTGCATGGGTTCAATCCCCAGAACTGGGAAAAGAAGAAGAAGGAGAAGGAGAAGGAGAGGAATATAAACAAATTAATCTTTGGAGATGGCTGAGTTTGAACACTGGCTTTGCCACTAGGGTTATGGCCTTGGGCAATTTCCACTTCTGCCTCAGTGTTCCCATCTATACAATGGATATAACACTAGTTTGACCTCATAAGGATTAAATGCACTTAGAAGATAATAACACATGTTAAGTGTTCAATAAATACGAACCATTGGTGCTGTGAGGGTGTAACTCAGTGGCAGAGCCCTTGCCTAGCATGCATGAGACCCTGGGTTCAGTTCCCAGCACCCCTGAAATAATTAACCATTTGCTTATCTGTGGCTGGTGGACTGTTTGATTGTCTCTTAGGAGAAGCTTAGGGAAGCAAGCTCCCCACGCTGAGCAGTTTCTGTATTTCACCTCACTCCTTCCTTAGCATGTTGGGTTATCAGCATTCAGATTACACCAAGTTTAAAAACTGACGCTCAAGTGCGGAGCCTGGCTCAAGAAGGTCACCTAGAGAATAAGAGGACCTGGGTCTGCTGTCTGGTTTGGACTTAAAGTCTAGTGTCTCTTGCCTGTAGAACTTATGCCCTCTTCATGCCACCCCCCAGGGCACTTGGAAAGGTTCTGAGTGGCCCGTCCTCATCTGACCGTGACACTAGGGCTCTTGAGGCCCAAGGTCCGAAACTGCTTTGCTGCATTTCCCAGGGCAGTTTACTCCTCAGCTTCCTTATCTCTCAGGTGGAACCATAACCCTGGAGGCCCTGTCCTGCTTAGTCACAGGTGTGGCAAGGAGACACAAGGCCCGGATGAGAAAGTGATTGGAAATTGTAAGATGCAGGTGTCAGCGCATGGGACTATTTTGGAAAGGATTTTTGTTCATTGGTTTGTTCAGCGTTGGAGATGGAACCCAGGGTCTCTCAGATGCTGGGCAAACTCACTACCACTGAGCCACACCCCCAGCCCCGGAAGGTTTTTGGGAAGCATGGGTGCGACCATGTCAGTATTGGTTGGAGGGAGGATCAAGACCCTCCTTCTACTGGAAAAGAAGTGGCCCAGGCTGCTTAGTCCCAGCCCTCATGGCTCTCCCTCCGGCTCCCCTACATCCTGCCAGTCACTTCTCAGCAACAGGAAATGAGATCTCCACTCTGCCTGTTAGACCAACAGGAAGAGGCCAGGATGTGCTAGCCAATCCCTGATCCTGCTCTGGACATCAAAATTGCCGCTTAACCCCTTGAACCAGTCCAGAATTACCACCTTCAGAGTGGCAGCCGGCATGAAAGTTGATCTCTTGTCTTGGTACTTCCAAGACTGGCTTTTATTTTCTTTGTTTATTTCTATGTGGTGCTGAGGATTGAACCCAGTGCCTCACACGTGCTAGGTAAGCACTCTGCCACTGAGCTACAGCCCCAGCCCTCTGTGACTGGCTTCTGTAAGCCCTTTGCTCTCTGGGCCTCAGTTTCCCTGTCTATAAAATGGAACCTTATATTATCCCTGGACTAACTCCAAACATCCCCGAACTGTTGGGAATCTCAACTAGGATAAAACGTGTTTGGCCTGGCACAGTGACACAGGCCTGTCATCCTAGTGACATGGGAGACTGAGATAGGAGGATGGTAGTTCAAGACCAGCCTAAGCAACTTAGCAAGACTTTGTCTCAAAGTAACAAATAAAAAGGATTGGGGATGTAGTTCAGTGGTAGTGCACCCCTTTGTTTAATCCCAGTGCCACATAAAATAGATAAAATTTTTAAAAACCAGTGTTTTGAATTACCACTAGAAATAGAAAAGTATCTCTGTATTCCCTGTAGTACCAGCCTGGTGCTACAAACAGATGAGGTGCTTAGTAAATGTCAGTGGAAGTGGTTGGAGACAGGTGGACCTGGGTTTGAATGTAAATGACCTTGAACAAGTGACTTCATCTTTCAGAGCCTCGGAATCCTCCTATGTCAAAAACAGGGTAATGATGCCTGCCTCCGAAGATGGCTGCAGGAAGAAAAGGGGAACAGAAGCACACAATGAAAACATATATTATTAAAATTAGCTTGTGAATAAAAAACGAGATGAGCCAAACAAAGTCCCCGCTTTCAAAGACTTAACGGTGGCAGATAGGATTCATCTCCAAATGATTGGCAGAGGCTGCCTGGAGAGCCTGTGTAGAGGATTATAAAAACCAGATCTGCTCCCAGCAGGAAAAAGGGATTGATTATCAATGCCTGCCATGGGCAGGAGCTGGGACGTGGCAGCAGGTGTATGGTGCCTATGCCAACTGTGACCTGGTTAGAGAGAGAGACACCTAAGCACAGGACTCTCATCTACGGCCAGCGACGTGTTCAGGGAAGGCAGAATCAGGAGCCATTCTCCAAGATCCTGGCATCCCAGCCAAGTTCTGGAGGGTGAATGGCAGGAAGGTTACACTCCAGGCAGAGGGAACAGCTTGAGCACGCACATGGTGCCTGAGTTGTGATGATTCTGGCTTCAAGGAACAGACAATCCAACCAAAGGTGGCTCAGGCAAGAAGACAAATTTATTCTCTCTCAAGGCAAGGCGTCGGATAATGAATGCTTTCGGGGCTTTTAAATTCAGCTGCTCAATAATGGCATCAAAGTTCCTTATAGGTTCGACTTTGCCGGGGTTATGGTAATTTGTGTGTGGCCTACCCGACCTGCGTGTCGAAGCACTAACCCCCGGTACCTGAGGATGGACCAGTACTCGGAGGAGACAGGCCTTCAAAGGGATGACTGAGTCAAAATGAAGCTGTTAGGGTAGGTCTGAATGCCACCCTTTTAAGAGTGTCCTCATCAAAGGAGATTTGGATGTACAAAGAGATGCCAGGGGCACTTGTGAACAGGGGAAAGACCGTGGGAGGACACAGGGAGAAGAGGAGGCTTAGACTTCTAACTCCAAGGACTGCAAGAAAATCGTTTTCTTGTTTGAGTCCACTTGTCTGAGAATTTTGTCGTGGCAGACCTAGCCAACGAGGACAGCTGGCAAGATGGCGGCGGCCTCCTTGGGAGCAACACAGTTGTGCAGCCCCTGGGGCAAGACAGAGGGTCTCACAGGGACTCTTCTTGTGTGTCTTTTTATCATGGAAGAAAACCTTTCCCAGAGACTCTTTGAAAGATTTCTCTTAGAAACCAACGGTCCAGATGCATTAGCCAGGATATATTTTGACTGTAACAAAGACCCAAATAACAGTGGCCTAAACATGATAGAAGTTTATCTGTTCTCCAAGGCACTTGAAGGCCAGCACAGGCATGGCAGCTCCATGTGTCTGGCCCCAGTGCTTCCTTCAGTGCTGCTTTACCATCTATGGGGTGATTTTTGTTGTTGTTGTTGTTTTTAATACTGGGGATTGAACTCAGGGGCACCTAACCACGTCCCCGGCCCTTTTTGAAATTTTATTGAGAGACAGGGTCTTGCTGAGTTGCTTAGGGCCTCACTAAGTTGCTGAGGCTGGTTTATGAACTCATGATCCTCCTGCCTCAGCCTCCCGAGCCACTGGAATTACAGGCGTGCACCACCACGCTGGGCACCCATCCTGTGTTTTTATGCGACCTGCAAGCGGGCTCTCCACAAAGCTGTATTCAGCCAGTGGAGTAACTGGACAGTAGCACGAAATTTTACTGCTTCCATCTCATTAGCCAGAACTCAGTTCTAGGGGTATCCTGGCTTCAAAGAACATTGGGAAGTGTAGTCTTTTCTTCTAGGTGGCCTTGTGCCTAGCAACTTTTAGTTCCTTTATAGAAAAAGGGAAACATGGCTACAGGAGACCCTGGGCAGTCTCTGCTTCACCAGCGTCAGGCCACATGTCCCTGTCTCCGCCAATCCCTACTTAAATCAATGATTCACATACTTGGATATGCATCAGAATTATCTGAGGTTTATCAATCTGTTTGTTTGACAGACTGCTGCTCTGGCTGATTCAATAGCTCTGGAGTAAGCCCGAGAATCTGCATTTCTAACAAGTTCCCTGGTGCTACTCCTTTACACTTTGAGAACCACTGTCTTAAGCCAATCATGATTTGCCCTCTGGGTCACGTAGGGGGTTAGAGTAAACAGGCCTTGGGTACTTGGAAGGGGGACCCTCCTAGGAAACTGAGGTTCTACCTGTGTGAAGGATGGTAAGAAAGACTGTCAGGTGGCAAACAGGGTCTCATGGAAGCAGGAAGGAGGGTGGCTTGGAAGGCCTGTGGGCCAGGCTTGGTTAGTAGGAGATGAGGCCCGAGAGGTATTTGAAGCCCAGTCTGTGAAGGTCAGCGTTAGGCAAAAATGCTGACCTTTATCCTGAAGGCACTGGGAGCCATCAGTGGTTCTATGGCAAGAAACTGCAGGATCTGATTTGTGGGAGGGTTAAAGGACTGGTTCCAGAGACTTCGTCAGACCTCCTTGCAGAACCTCCAGGAGACCTTTTGAAATATTGTCCCTGATCTATGTGTCCTTCCCCTGGTTAAAGAGATGGAAATCTGCATTTGAAATAAGCCCCCATTTCCCCAAGTGCTTCTGATGCTCTTTGAAGTTGGAGACCGGGATTAGAATGGAAACTCTGGAAGTAGGGAACTTCTTAGAGGCAAAGTCCTGTAGAAGATAAGCTCCTCTAAGGCAGGGACCATGCCCGTTCTATCTTTCTTGGTCACTCTGCCTAGAATTTTGCCCAGCACATAGGAAGTATGAACACATATTCGTGGCGTTGGGAACTTCAGCCTGGGTCCTGATTTTGTCATGGAAACATTCTGTGACCTTTAACAAGTAGAAGCCCAGCCCCCATCCCTCCCCTTATCTATAAAATGAGTTTGGAGATAATCCCTAGGAAGTCTGGCCCAGAGATTCTGGTTGATTAAGGAAGGTTCTATTCAATCAATAGGAAAGTCTGTCAGTGCAGTGTTCTGCCCTCTCCCAGGCAAGTGCCTGTCTTCTTAAAAGGAGCCACAGGGATTGTGGCCCAAGGTAGCCTTCTTTCTTAATCCCTGTTCCTTATCTCCTTTCTGTGGCCCAGAATAGCCAAAACAATAGAACACGAACCAGCCCGTACGGAAATGACTTTTAATATCTCATGTTGCAGCAAAATTAAAAATATACAAAAAGTTTGTGGTGTACAAAAGAGTCTCAGTACAGAAGCCCCAGCTTGGGCTCCCCTCCCCCTCCTGGGGGAAGCTCAGAAGGGCGAGTGGGAGTGGGAGGATTGGGAATGGCACAGATGTAGTAACTACGGGGTGGGCAGAGGCGGCCAGGAATAGGAAACAGTGGGCAGGGTGGGGGCTGCTGAGGGAGGGAAGGAAGAACACAGAGGAGAGAGTCACCAGGATTGTGCTGATTGACAGAGGGAAATCAGTCCCTCAGGCATGGCTAGTGGTTCCTGGAGAAAAGGTAGCGGGGATCGAGCTGGGGGTATTCTGGTGGGATCCCTTCCCACATGACCTGGGTCTGGATCCACCCTGCCACCAATTTGCTGTGGGACCCTGGGAGGATCACCTCCTATCTGTGGAACTGCCCCTTCTGTAAAGAAAGTAGGATGCTGGATAATTAAGCCATTGATTCTCAACTTGGGGTCCCGGATCCTGCCTGAGGGTCTATGGAGACTGGAAAGGGCCTCCATGAGTGCTTTTGAGAATTCCGTACTAAGCGATCCAATAGGATACAGGAATTCCGCTACCCTCAACCCCTGGAAGCTAACTTGAGGCCTTGGGAGCATTTACCCACAGCCAGAAGCTCAGCTCGAGTTAATTTAATGTGGCAAAATGAATCCTTCATCAAGAAACGAATCCCCTGAACTGTGGGACCCTGGGGTGGAAACAGCATGGGGAAGCCTGGGAATGCTTCAGGGCCCTTCACTATTTGATGACTGGTTTGGAAAACCGTGGGGGTCACTTGAGGCCCCTTGGAGCTGGGTGGTGTAGCCCAGTGGAGAGAGGCAGGAAGAAGGTTCCATTAGGCTGGGTTAGCTTCTGGGATTGGGGTGCTGGGGAGACGGAGGGATATTCTTTGCCCACCTGGTGCTGTTCTCTTTGTCCCTGGGTACCCTCCACTCTGAGATTATTGCAGTGCCTCTGGGCCCCCACCCCTGGCCTGGGGGACCCTGACAGAGAGTGTGCATAGAATACAGGCCAGGGTTGCTAAAGAGGGGCGCCCCCTCCTTGCCTCTAGAAGGTGAGATGGAAGAAGTCCCTCTTTCATCCCTTGGGGCTTTTTCTGCCCCCAGGGACTAGGCCAAGCTGGGCTGGGCCTTCCTCTCCCACTCCCACAATGCCTTGCTCCAGCCCTCCTCCTCCCCTTGCCTCTGCCTGTAGCAACCCAAACCCAGGAATGTCCCACCCCCTATCCCCAACCAGAATGGCACGCTACAGTCACTACCCCACCCCTGCCCCCAGCCCAGAGTCTCAGAAACCTCTCTGGCTGGGAAGAGGGACCCAGGCTGCTGCCCACAGCTGCCCGTGTGTCTTGGCACTGACTTGGTCCCTTCCATTGAGATATCACAAAGCACTTCAGGACAGACATTAACAGATCCCTCTCCCCACAAGCCCTGCCCGGAGACTGGGAAGGAAGCAGGTGCCAAGGGGGCAGTGGGTCCTGACTTTGAACCTTACTGTGCCGGGACTCTGCCCACCCCACGCAGGTCCCTCCTAACCAGGAGCCCCCACCACTGCAGAAAACTCCAGTCCCTAAGCAGCCCCCTGAGGCCCTGGAGGAACCTGTCACCCTTTTAGATGATCCTTCCCCTACTTCCCTTCCCTTACAGCGGAGAGAGCAGTTGGGTGTGCTTTGAAAGGGGTTTAGGGTTAGACTAGAGAAGCCTCAGAGGGGGCCAAGGCACCCTGATGTCACCAGAGGGGCTTCCAGACTCTGCAGGGCTCCCTGGAACCTTCTCAGAATTTGTTGCATTTTCTTCCTCCACCCCTGGGGTCAAGGACAGAACTCAGGGCCTTGGGAGTGCAGGGCAAGTGCTCTGCTGCTAAGCTAAGTCCCCAAGCCCCACACCCCCACCAACACTTTGAACCAGAGCTCTCAAACTGGTGGCCCCAGGGGCTTGGAACAGTGTTCAGTTTGACCAGCATGAGGTTTTTCAAAACCTGGAACTTTCATGCCTTCCAGCAGGGCACACCCACTATCCCATTTGCAGCAGGGGGCGGGGGGGGGAGTCTGGGGGGGTCCCTATCATTTAGCACCTGCAGAATTTCAGTCTCCTGGGGGCTTTGCAACTGCCAGGCAAGACTTTCCCTGAACATTTGCAGACCCTACTTGGTCCTGATCTGGAGACCTGGACATTCCTGGGGCCTTGGCCTCCCAGCCCTCTGCTGTCCCCGCCCTCGTGGGTGACATACCTCCAGGAGATACAGACTGCAGAGAGCTGGCTGAGGGGAAGACGGACTGCAGGGAGACATAGGAATGGGGCAGATGAGAAGAGGGGACCAAAAAGGACTCCCTGTTGGGGAGCCCCCTGTGGGGGAGGGTGGTGGCCTGTGTTGTTCAGCTGGGGTGACCATTACAAGGCACATCAGTGCATGGAGGTGTGACGTGGGGTGTCTGGTGCCTGGAGAGGTTTGGGGAGCAGTCATCAGCTTGTGGGGTCAGTTTAAAGTGGGAGGTCAAGAAAAGAGAGAAACAGAGGTCTGCCTTGGGAACAGGGTTTCCTGGGGTTGGCGACTGCCCAGTACTTTGGTACCCAGTGTTCTGCTCTCTTCTGTTCCTGGCAAAATTAAGGTGGACCCAACTAACTCCCACGGCACTGACTTCCTGTGCGATCTTGAGCAAGTGCCTGGCCCTTTCTGGGGCTCAACTTCTGGGACTAGAGGGTGGTTGGCTTAGGGGACCCCAAAGCTCTCTTGAGCTGTATTTCTGGAAACTTCTCTCATTTCAAAGACTCTGGAGGGGTCCTGGGAAGGACTGAACATCCAGGATAGGGTGAAGGTCAGAGAATGGGGTACAGAGGACCCAGGGAACACAGTTCTAATGGGGAAGAGAGACCAGCTGAGGTAGATTATGTCACAGAAAGGGACACAAAACAACAGCTCCAAGGAAATGAGGCCTCCCCTCTGACTCCTCTATTGCAGTGAAACAAGGAAACAGGTCAGCGGAAAGGGGACCTCAGGAAGGGAAAGATGGGATCCTAACTCCAGGGAGGGATGTATTTCAGGGGCTGAGCTAACGAGGAGAAGTGAGAGGTGCTCACAGTCTTCTCCTCAAGCCCGTTGACCATGACCTTGACCTTGCAGACAGAGACCCTGAAGAGAGGTTTTGTGGGACTAGTCTGATTCGAGGGTGGAGTTCAAGCCCTGAAAATATGGCTGTGGCTTCCCCATGAACCTCAAGCCCTGCCCGGCATTGCCAGTTCATTCCTGTTCCCTGGCTCTTGGAGTCTGAGCTGTAAAGGAGTAGGGTATTTTTTTTAACTTCTCCTTCTAGAATGCTGGAGATGGGCCATTCTAGCACCCTGGGAGTAAAATAATTGCCAAGGGAGACCCTCACATTGCCTCGCCGAGCCTTAGTTGTCTCATCTGTAGGGCAGGCGGAGAATGGCTCTTGTAAGGATGTTGTGAGCAGAGGACGGTGTCAGGGAGACCCTGTGGGTGGAAACTCTTGGCACAATCAGCCCTGGAGAGATAGGCAGTGGGTCTTGGTCCCCATCCTCAGTGCTGTGTGTAACTGGTCATGGAGTTGGATCTCCAAAAACAGTTCTGGACAGAGGACAAGGAGAATCCATGAGCCCACCAGAACAGATCTGGGTCAGGATGGAACCCCTTATCACTCTTGCAGCTGGGTTCCTGAGGTTTCTCAGAGAAATAGGAGGAAGAAGGAAATGCATTCTTAAATGTCGGCATGAGGGATGTAGCCGCCTGTGATGCCAGGAGGGTGGGAGCCATGTATCACGGCTATGATGTGTGCTTGTGGGTGCAGTCCTGCCCTCGCTGCCTGTGGGGTCACCCTACACCCTGAATATGGCCCCTTCCCTACATCCTCAGTAAATCTATCATTACCCATTACCATCTGATGGTCCAGCCAGACCTGGGAGAGTAGCTGCCACTCTGGGCCTTAGTTTCCCCACTATAATCCTCAGGGAGGCTGAGCCTGCAAGGGCTAAGCACCCCCTCTAATTTGCATAGTCTGATTCTAACACCCACTGCGGCCCCACCCTGCAGCTGAGCTTCAGATATCCTCCCAGCAAACGTGCCTTAGCTTAGCGGGCATGGATGAGTGGGAAGGGGAGCCAGTCTCTGCCTAGAGGCTCTGTCTCCACTCCGTGGAGCTGCCTCCTTCTCTACTCCCAACCTTCTGCACCCCTTCCAGGACTAGAAGTGGCCCTGAATGAGTGATCCCATGAGTACCCCAGGATGTTCAGGCCAAGGGAATGGAACATAGGTCTTGGGGAGGTTGTCAGATTGGAGACAAAAATAAGTCAGCTTCCCAGACACCCTCCCCAGAGCGGCATCTGCAGGGTGGCTGAAATCCAGGATTCATGTCACATCCCCAGATCTACTTTTTTCTAGCTAAGAACCAGTTGGCAGCTGAAATGTTTCGGGGTTCTGAGGACAACTTCCTTTTAGAGAGATAACTGTGGACCCAGGTGGACAGGAGCCTGGAAGTCCCATAAGTACACCCAGAACATTCCATTTGCATTGGTTTCTAGAGCTCCCCATCCCTCACCATGGCAAGCACTAGAATCTTCCACAGCAGAGCATCAGGGGTCCAGTGTCCTTGCTTGTCATACATGATATATGACAGACTTCCTAGGACATTTCATCAGTTAAGTGTTCTTCTAGAACTTCTTCTGGACCTAAGCACATCTCTACAATAGTTCTTCTGCCAAATGAGCTAGATCCTCATCTATAATTGAACTCAGACAATGTATCCTCCTGAACATTTTATCTGCTGTGCTCAAGATCTTAGGAATGTTCTGGATGTTCATCTAGAGCAAAAAATGCCTCCTTGAAATATTTTCACCCAAGGTGTCAAACCTCATCCATAACACAGCCCACAACGAAGTATATTTCCCAAAGAGTCCTTCTCTGGACTTGACCCTGGACTGCAGGTTCTCCTCCCCCAGATCTTCCACCCTTCCAGGTTTATGCCAGTTTGGACCCCTTGGGGTTCTTTCCATCTCTGCACTATCAGCCCACATCCCAATTCCCCACCCACCCCTACTCCCTCCTTCAGCTGCCCTCTTGCCTAACTCCAGGCCTCAGACCCTCCAGGTACTATGCTGATCCCGTCCGCAAGATGCTCCAAACTCACCCCCACCTCCCATGGCCTCCTCCATCCTTCTCAGTTATCCCCTCCCACCACAGAGGCAGCCCACTGCCATACCCCCAAGGAGCACAGGGCCTCGCCATGAACTCCAGACAGTGCCCTTCCTCTGGTAGGTTCACCAGGGGCGATGTGTGGACAATGCCAGGCAGGGGAGAGGGTGCGGGCCCCCTGCAACAGGCATGGTACGGAGGCCCCATGAAAGTGGGGCAGCTCACGCACGAGGAGTGTAGCACCAGTTGATTCCCTGGGCCCTGGTTCAGGGGAATCTAGGGAACTGGCCACAGGGCTGTAAATGGGGCCTGGGGCTGGAGTCTCCATAAGACAGCCCCCTCCCTTAAAAAGAACCCAATGATGGGGCCACTCTACCCTTGGATCAACAGATCCATGCCCCCATAGCCTGGTGGCCCTGAAATTCCTGGCTCAACACTGTAGTCGATGTGGGATCAGCCAAGTCCATTCCTTTTTGTCAGAGCAGACTGTGGCCTACACGGTTGTCTCGTACTCCAGCAGCTCTTGGGAGGTCCCCACGCTCCGGTACTGCAACCGGGGTGTGGCGGGAGAGGAGTACTCCAATGCCAGGATAGTCTTCCGGAGCCTGCGGTCAATAAAATGAGCATCCCAAGCTGGGTACTTCTTGCGAGGCAAGTCAATCCGAATGACAGGCCCCTCTGTCCGCAAGGGGCGGGCCATTGGTGTGGGAGGCAAGCCAGGCCGCACCTGGAAGACAGGTAGCGTGGGGGTCCCTGCACGCTCACCCCCCATGGAGGCCCCATCTCTCTCGGCGCCTGTAGTCCTTGGCAGGGACCGTGGGGGACTTGTGATGGCATCGGCTGGTGGGCCACAGGTCCCTGGGGTCTCAGGGCAGATGCAGCCAGGTGCCTGGGGACCCAGCATGGGTCCATTGGGGTGCAGGAGACAGTAGTAGACACACATGAAGAATATGCCCAGCGCAAAGCTGGAGGCCACCACGCAGACCAGGATGAGCGAGTGGAAGTCGTTGGAGAAGTTGCGGCTGAAGTACCAGAAGCCGGTGAGCGCGGTGTTCTCCAGCAGGACAATGCAATAGTAGAGGGTCATGCGGCGGCGGCTGCGGCCCTCCTTGACATTGAACCAGCAGAAGATGTAGATGATGCCTACCACCATGTTGTAGATGATCTCCTCCCACTTGGACATGCAGAAGTCTGTCTCCCCCTGAATGACCCAGAAGGTCATGACGCACCAGTGAGCCACGATGAAGATGCCAAAGTAGAGCTTGTAGACGCTGGCGAAGAGGGCGAAGGCCAGACTGCGAGCTGCGATGGTGAACAGGTGCCACAGTACCTGGGCCACGGCGCCCTTGTAGGACAGCGGCCGCTTGTCGTCCCTCGAGTCTCGTAGCACCTTCTGGTAGGAGGCCAGCGTCCAGGCCAGGGACACGAGGGAGGCAGAGGTGGAGAGGGCTGTGGAGAGAGGGTGGGGATGGGATGGGCTGGGTTAGGGTGGGTCTGGGTTGGGGTCCAGGGAGAAGGGGAGGGTCTGGGTCAGGAGCTGGGTTCTGAGGAGGCATAAGGGAAGCGTGAGGAAGCATGTGGTCTTTGGGTCTGCAGAAGTGTGAGAGGGTTTGGGGGGAGGTCCTCAAGAACAATGATGAGGTGAGGCGGAGCAAGAGTGGCTGGGCTGGGTATTTCTGCAGGCGTGGAGCATAAAGGGGCATCCAAGTTGGGTGATTTTGGTATCTACAAGGGTGAAGTCTAGGACTCTCGTATGGGGCTATTAGGATTCAGGGGTCTTAGTGTGGGAGGGTGGGAAATTAGGATCAGGACTCTGGGAGTGGAAGAAGAGGTAAAGAGTGGGTCATGATTAGGGCATGGGGAGCCAGGAGGGGCCATTAGAAGACTTGGAGCACCAGGCTGAGTCTAGGTGTGGAGGGACACCTAGGACTCAAATCTGAGGGCTCAAGACAAGATCCCAGGTGAGGCTCCTATGCTGGGCAAGGGATCCCCGGGGGGTCTGAGTTGTGGTGACAGTGTTTTGGGACACTGAGGGTAGTTTGGGCAGGGTCTGGGTGGGGACAGCACCAGGTGCCCCAGAGAGACAGGGCTGGCAGTTTTTCTCTGATGTTGAGGGGGCTGGCCTGGAATGTTCTAGAAGGGGCAGGTGGGAGTGAAGAGGGCCTATAGAAAGACAGGAAGGGGACCAAGTCTAAGCCTTGGAGGTGTCCCCAGGACTTCCAGTGGGGGAGCAAGGGACAGGTTCTCTGGAAACCAATGGCAGTTGGACCATCTGTGGGGTAGGGGAGTCCTCTGGAGATGCAGGCTGGGATCAAAACGGTTTAGGGAATGAAGGGGACAGGGGACTCCCCAGTGAATCTAAGGTATGTTGAGGGGGTGAAGGGCAGGGTCTGGTCTGCCCGGGTGATGGGGGAGGTAGGGGCAGGAGGGGGTGCCCAGGGGACCTGAGGGGTGGTGAGGGGCCAGGTCCGAGGGGGACCAGGTATCTTGAGAGGCTTGAAGGGTGATGAGAATATAGGGCGGGCTTCCCCAAGCCCTGACCCAGCGGCCCTGGGGCGGCGCTCACGGCTTCCCGGGGGCCTGGGGCGGGGCGGGGCTCACCGGGCAGCAGGTCGGGCTCGCGGCCGCCGTGCACCAGCAGGCTGAGCTGCAGCACCAGCTGCGGCGCGCTGCGCAGGAAGGTCTCCAGCAGGCGCAGCATGCTCACGTCGGCGCTCTCGAACAGCATCCGCCAGTAGAAGTGGCGCCGCAGCCGCTCCCCGCGCCAGCGGCTCTGCAGCCCCAGGTACAGGGCGCGCAGGTACCTGCGGGAGGGGACGCGGGTTCAGCTCCCCCGGTTCTTCCGCCTCTGGCTGTCACCTGCCAGGGCCCGCCCTCAAGAGCAGGGAGTCCCTACTATGCCCAGCCCCCTCCCTCAGCTGCAAAATGGTGGTGGGGGATCACCTGGGGCGGGGGGCTGTGGTTGGAGAGCACCGAATGGGCGCAGGAGCTTCAAGACCTGACACAAGGGAAGGCCTTAATACAGGGTCATCACCAGCAATACGGGTCCACTTTCTTTCTTTCTTGTAGTACTGGGGATTGAACACGGGGCGCTTTACCACCGAGTTCATCTTCAGCGCCCCCCCCTTTTTTTTTTCAGTCAGGATTTGGCTAAGTTGCTGAGGCTGGCCTTGAACTTGGAAGCCTCCTGCCTCAGCCTCCCTAGTACCTTGGATTACAGGGGTGCACCACCATCCCCAATCCCAATTTCTTTGAAAGACTACTGACACCTGAGAGTGCCCTAAGCTTAAAGGATACCTTCTCATCATCCCCATTTTATAGATGAGGAAAGTGGGACCCAGAGAGGCCTATCATTTGTCCAGCATCACACAACTAGGAAGACCATCTCCGAGCCCTCTTTGGTCCCTCCCAGAGGAGTTGTGAGGATTAATTAAATGGATGAGAAGCTACTTTGCACACTGTAAAGTCCAGGATTCAAACCCAGGCAGCACTTTAGCCATTATATGGCACTGCTTCTTACAGGAAACCATCAGCAGTTCAGGTACAGCCTCTGCTACCAGCCCCCAGTTCTGCTGCAGCAGCTTCCTGACCTGTTCCTGAGCTTGCCTCTGAGGGCCCAGTCCCCACATGGGGGCGCAGGGAAGTTGCTCCCTCTCTCCTGGCACTTGAGACTTTGCGGCCTCCTCTCATGCCACTTTCCCTAACAAACTTCAGGGCTCCAGTTCCTCTGCAAGGCCACAGAACCCAGGGCTCCCGTGCTCTCTCTCACTGCTGAGCTTTTGCATCTGCTGTTCCCTTTGCCTGATCCCCCCTCTGTCCTCCTCCCCTGCCCCAAACCTGGATAAGTCTTGCCTTTCTTCCAGAGTTCAGCTTTTAAACACAACTTCTTTTAGGACGCGTCTGTTGGCCACCCTCCACCTTTAGATGCTTCTCCTGCTTGCCTGACTTCCTCACCCAGTCCTTGTGGGGTACGCATCTCCCTCAGGCTGTGTTTCATGAATGGTCAGTTTGGCTTGCTAACTGCTGCAGCCTCCGTTCTTAGTACACACTAGGCACTCAATCTGTGTGGGTTGAATGAATGCATACATGTCTGACTGCGAGTGTGTCCAGTTCAACAGAACTCTGGTAATCCTGGAGCAGGTAGGGAAGGAACGCGGAACCCTGGGTTCAATTTCCAATTTTAATTACTGTGTGATCTTGAGAAGACCCTCTTTGAGCCCTAGTTAGTCCCTCCCAGAGAAGTTATGAGGATTAATTAAATGGATGAGAAGCTACTTTGTACACTGTACAGTGCCGTACCCAGGGAGGATGAATGAGACCTGTCCACACAGTTCTCTGGGTCTGATTTCCCCTCTCTTGCTCAACAGCTCCACTCCTAGCTGTTGTGACCACAGACCCTCCCCCTTTCCTAGCCCCCAAAGTTCCTTGATTCCTGGGGCAGGCAGGCTTCTGCTGAAACCATAGAGGGAAACTCCAAAAATGCGTGCCCCGAGAAACTGGCATTTGATCCTGTTGCCTGAATCTACAATTGAAGAACCAGGGATTTTGAAAGTCTATTCCCAGGTGGATGAGCTCTCATTTTGTTATCGGGATGTTGTTTGGGGACAGTGACCAGCTGTATTCCTGTTGTGCTACCAGCCTGAGACAGGACTGCGGTGCCATGGGATCAGCTTATACCCAGAGTGTCCTCCAACAGCTCTCCTCATCTTACAGCTGTGTGGTCTTCCCTGGGCCTTTGTTTCTCCTCTGCTGAGAGGATGGGCTGGACGGCTCTGGGGATCCTTTCAGAGCCAGACTCTCCCCCACAAAACGTGGCCAGGAACATTGAATTTAGGGCCCTCATGATCATCCCCGGATCCTCCTGGCACAGATGATGCCGCAGACACACCCTCCATGTGACACATTACAGGACTGGCATCCAGATGGGGGGAGGGCTAGTCCCTCAGCCGCTGCCTTGGAAAATGCACAGGTGCTTCCCTGTGAGTCTCTGGCAGTGCTGGGATTCCTCAGCCGTTTCCAGCCCCGGCGGGACACCTACTGCCTCGTTCCTCGCTACCTGCAGCTTCGGAGATGCTCCCGGGCCGGATTGTGTTTCTTGTAACGAGTGGAAATTTGCCTCCCTGTAGCTTCTGTTCTGTGGGCCCGGGCCTATCCTCACGTAAGGATCTTAGCAGCCAGAGTCATTCCTTGACACAGCAAGCGCACCGTGGCCACCTGCTCTGTCCTTACCTGTTGCACGCCCCTGGGAAGGAGTAACGGTAGGAGGGGGAACAGATGTTACAAGACGCTTTGGAACCCAGACAAGAGATGATAACTGAGCCTGGGGGAGGAAGTCAGGTAACAGTTCCAGGAGGAAGAAAGATTTGATTTCAATTTTAAAGCATGGATTGGCACTGAAGGCGCCCAAGAGGTGGAAGGACATTCCAAGTGGAAGAACCAGCAGATGCACAGAGGCCTGAAGGCACCTGGCCATGTGAGGGAATGGCCAGGGTTCGCATGGGCCTGGACAGGAGGGTTTTAATGGGTAGGAGCATAAAAAGACTAGAATTGTGAAGAGCATCAAATTCTGGACCAGAGAAGTAGAGGAGTGTGTGCTCTGTGTGCAGGAGGCCCTGGTTTCCATCCTGCCATCTCTCTCTCTCTCTCTCTCTCTCTCTCTCTCTCTCACACACACACACACACACACACACACACACATCCCAATCTGGACTGGAGTCTTCAGATTTTCTTCTGAATCTGAATTCCATCCCAGAATCAGAGGTGACGTGGCCAGCTCGGTAGCTCAAAGCTGGCTCCGAAGCTGGTTTGGAGGGGAGCCAGGAGGGGCTGGGCCTTGGTTCAGAACCGCAGCGACAGCACTGAGCTATGGCAGGGGATACAGGAGGGGCAGAGGGCAGGCCTGAAGGTGACCAAAGGTGGGGAGCTATAGGAGGAAACCAAGATGGCCCCGGCGTTTCTAAGGGAGCCAGAACAGAGGCCGTCTTTCCCAGCCTCCACACCTGCCCCTCCTCCCCAACCCATTTCTACGGCTCTAGCTCTGAACAGGAAGGAGAGACCAGCTGGTCCAATGTGAAGGGGCCTGGGGAGTTGGGGGAGGGCGACACCCTGGACATTTCTCTCAGGCTGGAAGACCATCTGTTTCCGGGCCTGGGTCAGCATGAGGGAAGCCCGGCCCTTGGCCAGCACCCATCACTACCTGACAGGCCGCCTGCCCACCTCCCCGCCCATTCCTGCCCTCTCCTCTGCCAGCTCTGGGTGAACTGCAGACAAAGGGCTCCCCCAGCCCAAAGGGCTCCTGCCGTGGGAGAAAGGCGTCCGAGCCCCAGGAACGTGGGGTCGGCAGGGAGCACAAAGAGCACGCTGCAGCCTGGGGAGGAGAGGCCTGGGCTCTGCCTCGCTCTGCCCCTTTTGGCAACGGGGCCAAACTGGCTGTTCTTTCCAGCCGGCGCTAGGTACTCACTGCCAAGGGCCTGCGAGATGTTCATGGGCCTAGGAAAATGTTTGAGGCCTGGAAAAAAATTGGCTCTAAAACACAGGGAAAAACTGCAGAATCAAAATTAATAAATGTTTAATTAAATGTCTGCAAAACAGAACATGATGTCAGCCAGTCAACTGCAATTTGGCTTTTATCTGGTTATATATAATTTACATTTGATGTTTGATGTGGCTGCATTTTAATATGCCTGATAGAGGCAGAGCCCTCAAAGGTCTAACAACAATCCTGCCCAGGACATGCAACCTAGTTTCTCGGGCCTCAGTTTCCCCTTCTCCAGAACAGAGCTGGCAACTTGCCACCCTACCTGTGTCACGGCACCGAGCAACTAAAAGGCAAGATGACAATATTCTAGGCTTGCTGGTAGGTTTGCATCCCAGCCCTGCCCTGGACCTGCTGTGCGGCCCTGGATGGTCTGTCTCTGCTTCTCTGAGCCTTATGACTCTCCCTGTTGTAAGCACTAAATTACATGATAAATTTGAGAATGATTTTCAGGCTGTAGCAGGATGTGCACGTGGTTGGGGGAGAGGGGAACATATACTGGGTGGAGGCCTCTGCACCTCCTAACTACCAACAGCCTCTCTTGACACCTCCTCCAGGAAGCCTACGCTATCCCACATCCCACTTGGCTATCCCACATCCCACTCGGCTTGAAAGGAAGTTGAAAGGAGTTGGTGTCACCATAAATGGGACTGAACGACTCACAGAAAAGGGCGCTGCAGCTCAAGGCAAGGAATCTAGCCTCGGGGGAGGGGAGCACATCTTCCTTTCTCCAGATCTATCCCCAGTCTGCTCATCTTTCCAGTGCCACCAGCTGGTGCAGGCGACTGTCATCTCTTGCCTGGACGGCCACATCAGCCTTCTCTGTAGGCTCCCTGCCTCCACCCTCCCCCCTTCTGGTCTACTCTCCACATGGCGACCAGCGGGATATTTTTAAAAGCTGTCAGATCATGTCATTCCCCTTCACAAAGCCTTCCAAGGGCCTCCTATCACACTTGGAATCAAACCTGAGCTTCTCCCCTGGGCTTTCAGGCTCTAGACCATCTGCCTTGTCCATTTCTCACTGTACCTCAAGCCACTGTCCCATTTGTTACCCCCCGCCCCCGCCCCCAGGTGCCCTGGAGGTTTCTTGAACCTAGCCAGACTTGCTTCTGATGCAGGACCTTTGCACATGCTGCTCACTGGACCTGGACACCCCTTCTCCTGATCCCTCTGTGGCTGACCTCTCATCAGCTCACATGTCACCTTTTCAAGGAGGCCTCCAAGGCCTCCCTTCCCACCATGGTACTGCCACCCTCACCAGATCACTCT